ATCGCTGCGGAATCGCTGCGAAAGTTTCGCCTTGGTCTGCGGGATCCTTTTTATTCGGCAGACACCGCTAGGGCCCCGCGGCCGTTCCGGAACGAGGCCGGGCGGCGAGAATAAAGGGAAAAGGGTTGGTTTTGGAAAGGGATTCGGAGAGTTAGAATCGTTAATCAAAAGACCGGAGTGCGGAATTTAACCGGAGGAGAGTTCCTGCAGGCTGGCGGTGTGTCCGCGCCATCGCCGGACCGACATGGCCGCCTCTTCGACACCCTCCCGGGCGCCCCCCCCGCGCCCCCGCCCCCCTTCGACCGAAGGACCCGTAATTTATTATTCACAACTTCCGTAATGGAATTCTGTTATATAGCGGGCTAATAATCGCGTCGAGGATCGCACTCTACTCGAGCCGCAGGATCGAATCACTACTGATGCATTTTTTTGTATTATTTTCCAGTGTTTCTCGTCCAAAAATAACAATTTTATATCGAGTAGGTACACCAGAAAAGTTTGATTTAATTTCTTCTATACAAACTAGGAAATTTGGGATTAAGAGTAGCTCTGTAACATTTTTAGTGAACGTTGAAAACTAAATTTAGTCTATAAAAACTGGGATAGAGTGTAGAGAGTAGAGTATAGAGAGTATAGTGTAGAGAGTGGAAAATAGAGTGCAGAGAGTAGAGTAGCAGTAATAAATAAATTGCTCCACAAAAGTTAAGGAAGTTCGCAAATTTTGCTATTATTTTAAAAGTTACACACTTTTTGATAACCAAATTTTCAAATATGCAAAATTAAATGTTTCCTCTCATATCTGAGTGGATTTTTTGTCCCTTCATCTACAACTCATACAAAATTTGGCGATCAAAAAACCTGCAACTTTTAAATTAATCTCAATATTTGTGAACTTCCCTAACTTTTGTGGAGCAGTATTTACTTACTTATACACTCTAGGTACAACTTTTTAACACTTATTATAATCATATCTAAACATGTATTGAATATTATAATCTCAACCCTTATAAAACCATTGAAAAATGACTAGTAAAACGCGGCAACAATCAATTTGCTAATTCGCGTCGAATCCGGGTTTTTCTTAAGAGCACACCCGATACATATTTTCCATAAATAAATCCCCGTTCGAAAACTTTAAATCTTTAATGTTCCGGGTATATATCGTTCGAAGAGAGCGGCTTATTTTTCCCCGCGTATATACAAAACGTGCACGCTTCATGTATCCGAAACTCGGCGCGTTTCGTATCAGTTTCTTTGATCGAATATCTCTCACTTCAAAGAGTACACTTTATAATATGTTGCCAGTTACATTACCAAATAAATATCCATAACAACGCAACTTGCTCGAAAAGTATTATCGATTCGTGTACCTTAAACGGGGCGACAGTAACGGACTTAGAACAACTCTATACAACAACTAATTTATACAACATTATATAAAAATATACATATTTTTTAATATAAACATTGTAATATAATTATATAGGGTGTTAATTAATAAGTGCGACAAACTTCAGGGGGTGATTCTGTATGAAAAAATAATGATATTTTGCTATATAAAGATATATCTGCAAATGCTTCGTTTTTGAGATACGAGGTGTTAAAATTTCTTGTTAAAAACCGAAGATTTATAATTTATTTCTCTGGAACCAGACGAGATATTCAAATGAAATTTGGTGGGTATTGAGAGGTAACTATTACGCATTTTTTGACATAAAATTGAAAATTTTATGTTCATCATTGACGCGCGTACGGGTAATAATAACATTTTTTTAAAGAAAAAAATAATATTGCTACACCACTGAGGCATTTTTATTAAAAATTCAATTATGAACAAATTCCTCGTTTAATTTGTGACAAAAAAACTCTCTTGCGTTTTTTTCGTACGGCCCGCCGTTTTCGAGTAAAAAAATAAAACATATTGACCTGCATTTTTCATTTCCTCAATATATCTAATAGTGAACAAACTTTAACACCCTATATCTCTACAACGAAGCATTTACGAACATATCTTTATATAACAAAATATCATCATTTTTTCATGCAGAATCACCCCCTAAAGTTTCTCGCACTTATTAATTAACACCCTGTAAAATATAAACCTTTATACTAACAACCGCTCGACGTCATAACGTAGTTAGATTAAACACACTATACCTGCTGTTATATTTATACACCGACACAATCGATTAACATGTTGAATATTGTTGTAATTAAAGCGACGTCGATTGCAGGATGCGTCTCTGGAAGCACCACTGTATTTAAATACGCGGAGCGTGAAGAGAAAATTTTCCAGAAGAGAAATTTATTAGAGAACACATCCTTGACCAAAATCGTCCCAATCACCGTGAAGGCTTCGACTGCGATGTATCGGAGAGGAACAGATTATATTATACACCGGTACAAATTGGATTTATTATTACTTTATTACACTGCATCAATTCGGGGTTGTGGCGGAGATGAAAGAAAAACTCGTTTTTATTATTTTTTTTTGTAGGTTCGAAAAGGTTAACGAGCGTCGCGTGCCGGGTTCATCTCCCTGTATATGCGATGAATCGCTCCATTAAGGCGACACCGGCTTACATGCCGGTGAACTATTAAGTCACGTTTGTTGACTCTGGACCAACGGGAATCACAAACAGGATTTACGTTTTCGAGGTGAGAGGTCATTATCTCGTTTCGGGGATAATAACGCGCCGGTTTATTATAATGTAATGTCGGGGAAAGTGGCCGTGAAATGTTATTGAATGCATGCAGAATATGTTGTACCAATTTATTTAATTACTTTATTCGATAGTTGCAAAATGGAAGGAGAAATTTACAAAGGATTTTGTGCATTATATATTTGAAAATTAGATTTAATAAAACGACTAATTTTTTGTATAATCCTTTGAAAGAAACTCTACAATTTTAACTGTATTATTGAAATTATTAATAGGATTCATCACTTTATTCAATCGATACAGAATGTAAAATTTGTGGGCGCGAAATGTTATTGAATTCATACAGAAAATGTTGTACCAATTTATTTAATTACTTTACTCGATAGTTGCAAAATGGAAGGAGAAATTTACAAAGGATTTTCTGCATTATATATTTGAAAATTAGATGGAATAAAACGACTAATTTTTTGTGTAATCTTTTGAAAGAAACTCTACAATTTTAACTGTATTATTGATATTGTTAATAGAATTCATCACTTCATTCAATCGATACAGAAGTATGAAAAATTCAAAATAAAACCAAAAAAAGTCATAAACCTACCTACCTACTAATAAATTATAAACACTGATTTCATCAGTATTATAACTTACATACTCTAGTAGAGTATTTAATAATACCGTTAACTTTAACATCGTTTCTTTTACTCACCACTACCTCCATACAAAACTCCACAATAGATACATTACGATCCTACAATTGCCCGATGGTCAATAAATTTTTACCTGGCTCTCCCGTCTCCAGCGTCCCTTTTCCCAGGTAGAAAACCCTTTTTTGCGCGATCCCTCGACCGGACCGCCGGCAAACCTTCCCTGAGGGATTCACCACGCACATTACCAACACGATTCTCGCGGAAAAACCCCCGGAAAATCCCTCGGCGAAAATCCATTTGTTTACCCACGACGCGTTTCCGTGATTAATATCGGGAATGTGTTGACAGATAACTAACTATTAGGGTTTTTTTGCGGCGTGCTCACTCCCTTGTCGTACGCGACCCGGTCGATCCCTGACCTCAGGTGAGCCCGCGACCGGTCAAACTGGTCTACTACACGCTATAATTTACCAACAAATAACTCCCTATACTGATATACACCCTTTTGTACCTTCTACATTAACGGTTCTTCATCATTTACTGTGCATACTACATCGGTATCAGCTAGAAACATTTTACTCTATACTGATGTGTACTACAACCATTTAGAATGCTTCGAAATATTTAGAACATTCAACAACCATTTAGAATGCTCTAGAAACATTTAGAACTCTCTACAACCATTTACAATGCTCTAGAAATATTAAGAACTGTCTACAATCATTTGGAAATGCTCTAGAAACATTTAGAACTCTTAAGAACCATTTAGAATGGACCAGAACAATTTAGAACTACACGCTATAATTTACCAACAAATAACTCCCTATATACCATCATACACCCTTTTGTACCTTCTACATTAACGGTTCTTCATCATTTACTGTGCATACTACATCGGTATCAGCTAGAAACATTCTACTATATACTGATGTGTTGATCGATTCGTATAGATTTTCCAACGTAAAAATACCATCTGTACTCGACGTTTTGTTTTTTTTTTCCTTCAACACATCAACCAACAACCCCCGCGGTCGCCTCCAAACCTACTCATTAACCAAAACAGCCGGTTCCTCCAAGTAGTGCAAGTATACATAGAGAATCGTCCAGACAATGCTCTACTAAGGCAACGAAAGAGATTCGTCTCTGCATTTGTCATGTACACGAGGGGCTCCGCGAGGGGCGCGCGGGGGGGTCGGTCGGGGGGTGTTCGACGGGTGCGGGAGGGGGGAGTGGGGGCGCTTTCGACTCTCTCTCAGCGAAACTGGAAACTCTCTCGGGCCGGCCGAGAGTGTCATTACAAGCAGCGGCCATGGCTCGGCCCCCGTCCACCCGCTCCGCCGCAGGGGTGAAACAAAAGACGGAATAATCCATAAGGGCCGTTGACCAATGGCGTGCCGGCTGGCGAAGCGGGCCTCAACCGAGCGGTTATTCGGCCTCTCGTGTGCATTCTCTAATTTTCTATACGGCGCTTCTCTCGGCTGATAGTGGAGCTCTTATTTAGGTGAATTTAATATTACCTAAAGTACAACTCTCAGTTTTCTTCTTCTTCTTCCTCCTAGGTGTTCTGCTACATCAACAAAAAAATCTATTAATACATATCACCTACATAATCAACAGTTACTAAACCTTATCTACATAACATTATCTCGAGTCCGTTTCCCCCGTTTGCTTATCTCTTATCGCTTTTATCGGCGATAAGTCGGAGTAAACTGTAGCGTTTAGTTTGGGTTGGAATTCTTGAAGATGCGTTTCAAAGGTTTCTTGTTCTGCATATTGCTGTTCTATGAAACAGAATCGGCCATCCGTCGGTATCGGTCCGTTTGTCCGGATTACTGCGAATGCGATGTGTTCGAGAAGTACCAGCGAGCTGTATGTCAGAGCAAAAAGCTGGTATCTGCCGAAGTCGGGGTGCCCCCGCAGGTGGAGATCCTGGATCTGTCTTTCAACCAGATCTACGAGTTGGGGAATAGAGTTTTTTATGTACGATCGACGAGGACTCATCGAGTGTTGTTATTGTTATGAATCGTTGGTAATTATTTGCAGGATAACGGCCTGACGGATTTGAAGCTGTTGAATTTGTCGAACAACAAGATCAGCCAGATACACATGTTCGCTTTCCGAGGAGCGGAGAAACTGAAATCGCTGGATTTGTCGTACAACATCATCGAGTATTTTTTGGAGCAATGGTATCCGCATTGGGCGAATTTGGAAGAGCTGTACTTGCAAGGGAACAATTTGGTGTTGATCAACAAACAACCTGTATTGAATATACCAACGTTGAATGTAAGTTACATTTCGTACACCTATAGTCCTCTATATGCTTCTAATTTTTCCAGATTCTCGATTTAAGTCGAAGCAAAATCGAGCACTTCGATTCTAATTTGTTCACGAAACTTCCACAGCTGGAAGTACTCGATATATCCCACAATTACATGCAAAGTTTAAACTCTGAAGTGATTTTACCAATCGAAAATCTATATGTATTGATAGCTAATGGAAATCATCTAGAATGCAGGGACAAATCCATGTCGCTACTAAGAAAGCTGATTAAGAAAAGGAATATTTTATACTATGGACCTTGCATGAAAACTCATAAGAGACTTACGAGTACTACAATAAAACCAACTGATGGTACAATTATTGAAGAAACGTCTAATAGTGTGGAGTTACATAAAGAAGCGAAAGTATTAGAAGTAACTGGAGAATTGAATAAAACTCTAATGGATGCTGAAAATCTGGATAAACCTTTAGTCGTAGTAGAACTAGCCGAAAAGCAGGAAAATGATGGTAAGGAAATCGAAGTTCTCGACGAAACATCCACCGTTTTTCCAGTGCAATTCGAAAAAATGATGATGGAAACCATGAAACCTGTTGAAACATTACCAAAAAGCGAGGAAATTTCACCAAACGAGGCGAAAGCTAAAGCCCTAGACAAATTACTGAAAGATTTGGAGAGGTTAATAGAAAATCAATCAACTAAAAAACCAGAAGTACAGAAAATTGCGAAATCTTTTATCCATTTTCCGAAAAATTCATGGCTAACAGAAGATAAAGACGACAGCGTTGATTACGACGACGAATCTACAGAAAACATTTTCGAAAGCGGCAAAAATTGCACCATAATCGGATTATACCCCAACGAAATCGACAAATGGATCATGAAAATCATGGACGTGTCCCCGATACTAATGGCAATTTCCATTCTAGTCGCCGGCATTTTACTTGGTAGGTAATTAACCAACATTTCCAATTCCAAATTAACCCATTCGCTACTTCCAGGATTGATTATCGGCTGTTCCACCAACATCAAGCAACTATCGAAGAAACTCCCCAAGGAGCTGCCGAAGGAGTTTGACAAAGGCAACAAAATCTTGGACTGGTTCAAGAAGAAAAAGGATAACCCGTCGCAGCAAGGACGACCCGTCAATAAGAACAAAGAAGATCCTGTGAAGAATTTCGACGAGGAGATGGGGCAGAGAGAAGTGGATGATGATTTCTCGGATAATGATGAAGGAAATAGTAGAGGGAAGAAGAAGATAGGTAGTGGTAAAATTACGATGAGGAGTCCGAGATCCAGGAGTCCCATCGAGGACCAGTCTGTGCTTTTAGATAACGAATTCCAGGACGAATCCACCCCGGTTTTGGGGAAGAAGAAGGGATTCTCCGAAAATGACGATTAAGGGTTCATTTGAGGTTTTTTTACTGTTAAATTTGTACTGATAATTTCTGACAATTAATTCTAATTATGTTTGTTTGCGTAAACTATTGTAAAATTTAAATCTAATCTGTGTACGAAGGTGCCGATTGATTTGTTTGTTCTTATCGAATATTTTTATCAATCTATTTTAAAACTTATCGATAAGCGTTAAATATATTTTAAATTTGTGTTGTACCAATTGAATGTTTTAATTTATTTCAAAATATATATTTTTTAATTTCGTTGTAAAGAGTATGCAATTAAAATTGAATTTGTAGTTTCCATTTTTAGTAATTTGATTTTTTTCGACTGCAATAAAATATATTTTTCCGGTGGTGTTTTTTTCTCCTCGCAATATTCCTTAAACTCCAATAAAATAAAGACTCGCGACCAAGACAACAATCTCATTCGCGAGCAAAGGTATATTATACACACACACAGAGGCAAAAATTTCCCATATTCCCCGCAGAAATATTTCATAAAATGTCAATAATTTAATATCGCAAAAGGAATTTGTATATTTCTCTATTCTAATATAGTACTTTTTAAGAGCAATCGCCCAAGCCAGGCGCTCCCTTCGAACTGAAATAACCGACCAACGCGAGTTTTTTGGTCGACTGCTTTGATATCCTGATACTGCGAAGCAACTCTTCAGAGGCCGAGGGATTGGTAGCTGGGCAACAGACGCTTTGTGACGTCACCCAGGTAACAGTCTACCTCATGTGTATTGTATATTTTACATCTGTATAAAATGCTTTACGTTTCCCAACTTTGATGCTCGGAAAATCGGTCAATTACGAGGGAGATTTGTAAAGTAACTGATAAGAAATATACACATACATAAATGCAAAATTGTTTGCAACAAAGTTGAATAAAGAGTTGAATAAAGAAGGATTATAAAAATAACTGTAGTTGGAGTGAGATATTTGCAATTCCATAATATCACTCTTTATTTTTCTATCCCATTTTTCATTCCATCAACAGATCATGACAAGAATGATATTTTTTTAATAGTTAGTTAATTATGGAATTAAAAATCTTACTAAATATTTTGTATGATTGGTTTTGCCCTCATCTTTTCGTTGTTAGTTTTTTTAAAACATTATTCACATCGGTAATTTTTCAATTTTTTTTTCATTTTTGTCAATTTTAGTATCAGTAAAATGGGCAATTAAGAAGCAATTTTCACAGTAGAATTTGCTCTTTTAAAGCGAATAAACTATTTCCTACATAATTTTTTGAGTCGAATAAAGAAAGATTATTAAAATAACAGATAGTTGGAATGAGAAATTTGTAATTCCATAATATCACTCTTTATTTTTCTATCCCATTTTTCATCCCATCAAAAGATCATGACAAGAATGATATTTTTTTTAATAGTTAGCCAATTATGGAATTAAAAATCGTACTAAATATTTTGCATGATTGGTTTTGCCCTACCTATATAATTTTTCAATTTTTGTTTTACTTGTGTCAATTTTAGTATCAGTAAAACGGGCAATTATGAGCCAATTTTCACAGTAGAAATTACTCCAATAAACCACTACATAATCTTCAAACAAAAAAAACCAACAATTTAAAATTTAAATTTTTCAATCAAGCCCATCAACAACGAACGAAAGCGACGGCGAAATCGCGCAAACCGCCGACTAATTTTTATGCAAACGACGAAAATGCCGAAACACAGAGATAGATATAAGAAAATATTTCGTCGCGAAAACTTCCCAGTTTTAATTTGGCTCCGGCAAAGAGTAGAGTACGCTGGCGTTTAAAAACGAAAATCAATACCCCACGCCAAATGAAACCCACCCTTCGGATGCACCGTCCACGTTTACATTCATCCCCCAATCAACTTTAAAATCATCAATCGCGACCGATCGCCGGTGAAATAATACCTACAAACGCGACTCGAGTGCCACATACGTGCGTTTTACACAGTACATCCCTTATCAGGAGCGAAACATCAACCCTTCCAGCGTCAATCGCGCTGCCGCCTCGCGCCCGAATAAAAGAAAAGGGTTGTTTAGGGGGTGCTATGAAGTGACCGTCGATGGACAGTGGCCAATGAGTGAGAGACTCAGACACACCCCGCTTGGAGGGGATGAGTGCTGTGATAAGGAGAAGCGAGTTGACCGGAGGAGAAAATATATATACGAGGGTCGCGCGACTAATAAATACTCCAACGGTAAGGCGCTTTATTGTATTTAATATCTCCGAAATCGCTTGTTCGAATTAATTACCCCGCGGGGTGAGTATGTGCATGTATATTCGGCATCGACTTAATAATAATGCGGAATAAATCATCTCGGGCGGGAGCGGGATTTAGCCAGGAACAAATGCAAGTGGTTATTTAACAAAACCGCACGGTATGCCAGTCAAGTGGGCCGTGAGCGGAGCGGCGCAGCCATTGTGATCCATTCATCTAATTAGCGAAGTCGGGAGCATTCGCATGGTAAGAGTTATCGCTCTCACACTCATTAGGGCCGGATTAATTTATCACGGATTTCTCCGGCAAGACCTACGGATCCAGAAGGCCCCGCCGATAGGCGCTCGTCGCGATAAACAATAACAAAATGGGGCCGCGGGAGGCCCGACTTCGGCTCGGTTTTTGCCCGATGGGATTTGATAAATGAATTTTACATTTGCAAGTCGATGGCTAACACCGAAATATCTGCCAGGTGCATCCGCCAAAATTTCGAAACTTAGTTATAATGACATTGTTTACACCAAATTATCGGTGATTTTTACCAGGTGCATCCACCAAAATTTCGAAACTTAGTAATGACATTATTTACACCAAATTATTGGTGATTTTTACCAGACGCATCCGCCAAAATTTCGAATTATTTCAAGCATAGTTTGAGCGTAATTTAGTCGCTTGATTTTTGCACCCATCCACGTATAAACCTCTTGAGCTCATTATGAAAATATTAAACCGAACAATCGAACAGTACAAACACACACACGCGAGAGTATTAGAGAGGAAACGGGGAATGAAAAGCGGCCGGGAACAAGGGGATGAACGCTAAACGCCTGATAGGTAAACAAAGCGAGAACAATCAGGGCTCCGCTACGAATCCATCTAGCAGTCATCAACCATAATAGGTGGGTAGGTTTTTACCGGAGAAGTTGCCGTGCTGTTCCAGACAGCTCCAGATTAAGTATTACACATTCGAATGAAGCCCCGGCGCGTTTCGTTCGATCACCGCGTGATCTTGGCACGCTTCTTTCGAACTCATTAAAACTCCCTTTAATTAACTTGAAAATCACTTGAAAATTAACATTAATCAATTGGTAAAAGGCCCTTGAACTGGTCAAGAAGAAGTGAATTCCAGAATTGTTATCAACCGCTTAGTAAGAGAGTAGTTTAGAGTTGTTAACTGGGACAACCGGTACAACAAAAAAAACGCAGTTATGCAGTTATGCAACTCAATTTACATCCAGGTATGCCTACGTACATCGCCAGGTAAACAAATCGCCCCTCGTTCGGGGTGGACCCTCCAACCCCTGCGGGGTCCTTGCACTTCGTCATCATAATTGATTCGCAGTCGGAGCGTTCGTTCAACGACATCTAGCGAGGGGTAGTTCACTTAGCGGACGCGCGGTCGAATTTCGAGCAATTAGTTTCGGGGGATGAAGGATAGGGGCGAGCGGCGCAAATTTGTTGTTTTAAATGGGAATGAACGGGCGAGGAAAATTGTGATAGGGGTGGTTTTCGTAATTCGTTTTTATTGCTAGTTTACTGTATTTGCTACTTGCATTTAATTTTTTTTAATGGTGTAAATAAAACGCATTTGAATTGTAATAGATTTTATTTTTTAAATACACACTGAGATGTGATGTCAGTATAGGAACACATTTATATTAAGTACCGGTGTAGCCCATACGAACACCCGTAGTGCTACAGCCATATCTTCAAATAAATAAAAAATAGTCATTCGAAATAACATATTAACATTAATAATAGATACAATTACATTAAATCGCAATCGGGCAATGTTTTCTCTGAACGAAAGTTCGGAGTTTCCGTGCGGTACAATCGAGATCAATTGAATTTATTAATTTTTTTTGTGTGATTAGGAAACTCCGAATGTAGAAAAAATGTTGGCCGATTATTTCGTTTAAATACCTACTACTTGGAGACCCTGGTCCGCTTTTTAATACTAAACATTTCCGCGATATTGCATATTAAATATAGTCGAATACTGAAAATAAAGGTAGGTATGACACAATAAATATGAAAAGGTTTTTAATACTATCGATCCGACCCCAAAAATCGTAACAATTTCAACAAATTTCACGGTAATATCCCGACGACTTTACCGAATGTCGATCGAAAAATAAATGAAACAAATTTTGATTTTTTTTTGTATTTATTGGATAATTTTTGTCGGCAAAATCTCGGGTTGTTTGATCAAAATTTTGACAATTTTCATAACGGCAAACAAACAAAAAAACGTTGCTTAATTAACCTGAGTTTACATTTTCGATAAGAGAAAAACACCTAGAAGTTCCGGTAAATTATTAGGTAATTCTCTGTACACGGTATATTTTTCAAATCGTTCCCAACACACGAAAATACCAATTATTTCATAGCAATTTCTAAATGAAATCAGTTCTTTATAAGCTAAGTACATAAAATTGAAATAAACTCTCTACCAGATATCTAAAAAAAAAGTACTGAATTCATTCCATCTTGAGCCCAAAAATTAAAAATTACCAACGATATTTTCCAACTTTTGCAACTTCTACTATAATCGATAAAATCAAAATAAAATCGATGATTAGAATTTTGTGGTTTGGAAACGACAAGAGAATCACATCCGGAAGAATACTTATTTCGAAACATTTTCTATAATACACTGGGGATATCTCAGCAATAAATAATAGATTACAGGGTGTCCAGTAAAAGTGGGTCATTCAATTTTTTTGTACACGACAATAAAATAAAATAAAAAATAAAATAAATTCGTCTTTGGCCAACGGTAAACATTCACGTAAAAATAACTTTCGACTGGGACAACCTGCATATCGGAATATATACTTATATACAATTCTGGCTGTTACTGGCCAATAAAAAAGGTGATATGATAGGGAATGTACACGGGGCTAAAATATTCATCGGGCGCTAGGATATCGCGCCTAAATTAATATAAAAAAAAACGAAATATAGCCCCATCAGTCTCAACATATAGCTAATTACAAATGTACAAATAATTTCTCAATTAATAAACTCAATAATTAATAATTAGGAAAAAAAGAACATTGCTTTGGTATCAGTTACAAAGAACAATACGAGTTCCCCTTAAAACTGCATTTATTTTATCGGGAAACGTTTCTTTTAAATATAGTAATACTATACAATTTAACTTATAACACGAAAAGATTAGCGCGATCAATACGATTCAAAAAAAGATTGCTTCGTATTGCAAACTAACCGGTAATTTTTTTTCAACATATTGACAACACCAGCTAATCTTAACCAACAGTCCTAGTTAATCGCATTTATTGTTGGCGAAAAGTACGATAGAGCCACCAAAAAATCGAATTACCCTAGACTAGAACCAACAGAGGCGAAATAATAATAATATTAATAAAAAAAAAAAAAAACCATCACTGTTCACAACAACAAATTCGCCTAGCAGATTAGGAGACATCAGTTCGTTTAGCGACTAGTAAGTCAAACCCGGTGGCGGCGGCGGCAGCCTCACGCCGCCCCACGGAAAGAGTCATACGGCCTCCTTCGACGTCAAGCTCGTCGACGAATCGTCGTCGCCGGACAGCATCGGCATCGAGCCGAGCAGATGGCCCTTGCCCTGGTTCACCACGCACTTGCGCATGTGCTTCTCGAGCGTCGACGGCACCGAGAACGGCATCTCGCAGAACCGGCACCGGTACACGTCCTTCCCCACCCGCCCGTGCGTCTTCATGTGCCTGGTCAGCTTCGAGCTCTGCGCGCACGCGTACGAGCACAGCTCGCACTTGTACGGCTTCTCGCCGGTGTGCGACCGCCGGTGCACCGTCAAATTCGAACAGTTCTTGAACACCTTGCCGCAGAACTCGCAGGTGTCGTTCCGCCGGCTCTCCTTCTTGATCAGCGGATTGGGCAGCAACGCGCTCGGTCCGGGCGCGCCTTTGCCGTCGCGCTGCAGCCCCGGCAGCCACCAATCGTTCCTGTCCAGCTCCAGTTTGATGCGCTTCGAAGGGTCGAAGGAGTCGTTGAACGGCGGAAAGAGCGGCATCGGCTGCGGCGCCACCGGTAGAAGATTCTTGGCGAAGTCCTCGCGTTTGATGAGGTGCGACGAGAGGCTGTTGTTGTTGTCCCTGTCTTTGCATATTTGCAGCTTGAGAGCGGTGTTGGATTCCTGCAAGGCCTGCTTGTAGGCCTCGCTGTATTGCGCTATGTTGTTGAGACCAAATTTGTCCATCAGTTCACCTACGAGTGAAGCTGATGGACTCGACGCGTTTTTTGGAATCTGGCTCGATGGGATGCTCAAATCTTCGGCTTCTTCTTCGTCGTCGTCGTCGTCTTTCATATCGTCCTCGTCCTCGTCATCTTCATCGTCTAAATCCTCGTCGTCTTCGCTGTCTAGCGTTTCGACGGATCCGGCGTTGCTGGCTCTATCGTCTAGCGTTCGATGTATTCTCATGTGTTTCTTCAGCTTCGAGCTTTGCGCGTAGGCGTGATCGCACGCCGAGCATTTGTACGGCAGCTCGCCCGTGTGCGTTCTGCGGTGCATCTCCAACTTGCTCTGATAGCGGAACTTCTTGCCGCAGTAATCGCAAGTATCGTTCGACGATGATGTCTTCGGCGATCCCGGCTTGCCGGGCGGCGTGCTGGCGAGCCGGTGCTCGACGTCGAGCTTCGTCGGCGGCGAGGCGCTCGGCGGGCGGCTGCTGGCGCCGCTGACGTTGTTGTTGTTGGTGCTGCTGCTGCTCGAGCTGAGGTTATTGGGAAGGGTAGTTGGCGGCATCTGTGAGGGAGAAGGGCTCGCGAAAGGCGGTGAGTGCTTGCGGGGTAACGGCGAGCCTGCCTGTGCCGTGCCCGGGCTGGTGGTACCTGCCAATTGCCTCAACCGCTGCGAGTAAAAATCCAACTGTGGTTCGAGTGATAGTGGTTGGTTCGGCGTGCATCTATCGCGCTGTGGTAGGTTATTAGAGGGGTTCGCGCGGTCCGCCGGCGAGGGGAAGTTGGTGTGCGGCGGCGGCGGCGGCGGCACGTTACCGGCGGCGACGGCGGCGGCGGCGGCCGCCAGGTTGAGCCCGTGGTGGCGGAACTGCTCGCTGACCAGCTGATCGATGCGATAGTGGTGGTCGGGCCGCGAGAAGAGCGGCGCCGGCGGCACCGGCCCGTGCTGGAGCGGCGGCAGCGGCAGGCGCAGCAGGCCGCCGACGCCGAACGGATTGTGGAGGTCGGGCGGCGGCAGCAGATGGTGGCGCATGTTGGGCGGCGGCGGCGGCGCCGCGCCCGACGACGCGCCCGAGCTCGAGCTGCTCGAGCTGCTGCCGCTGTGGTTGTTGCTGTTGTTGATGGTCTTCGGGCCGCCCGGCGAGCTCTCAGCGTAGATTTTGATGCCGTGCGAGTTCTGCGCGTGCTGGATCAACCGCCAGGCGGAGTGCAGGCGGATTTTGCACGTGCTGCACACGTAGTTGCTCGGTTCTGGAAATATTTAAAAACAAACAATCACTAAACTAATAGATACACGTTTACAGGTTGCTCTATTTTGCTCCATGGGTGCGATAAAGGCAACTTTCATTAGACACTTGGTGTCTAATGAAAGAGTGACATTGTGTCATTACAACTTTTGTCACTCTGACAGCTGTCATTCTAATAATCTTTCTTTGTACTCATAATAATGACCATATTGATATCAAAAATGAAGCAATATGTATGTAAATACTCGTACAAATTGAGACCACAATGAAACAAAAAACAACCTCTAACTAAAGAAACCTCTGCAGTGTTGCCACGTTTCAAAAAAAATCCCAAATAACACGGATATACATAAAAATCGCGACGATTGGAGGCGGTATTACCAAGCGCGCTGTTTAACCGAATCGCTCGTGAAATTGTCCCGGTATCAGAACAATGGCGGTGGAGAAAAGAAGCTTTCTGATCGTACCGCGCCCCCCTCAGTGATTACGCGACGCCGTTTCCGCTTCTCCGGCGATTCGTAGAGGCTTTGCTTGACCTCGGTAGATGCTCAGTTACCCGTAGATCCGAACTATTGTCATCTTTTGGTCCTTCGACTGGTGTTCGAACGGCGATTTTTCATACCGTGTAGAATACCACGCTTGACGGACCGTCGATCGGTTTCGAATTTTACAGGCGATTCGCGACGACCCGGGTAAATCAGGCGAATAAAAGAAATGCAAAAAATAGGTGGAAAAGATGTGAGTGAAATCGAATGCTTGGAGTGATTTTGAGTGGTACAAATATAGTTCTGGTATGCTCTGGAGTCATTCAAAGTTGTATTTGTACCATTCTTGAGTCGCTACGATTAGTTTGGAGTAGTTCGAAAGGTTCTATTAGGTCCAGAATAATCCCAAAAACCAATCGAAATAATCCATATTTATTGCTCAGATAAAACACAAAAAATAGATTGAAAAAAATGTAAGTAAAATCGAATGCTTGGAGTGATTTTGAGTGGTACAAATATAGTTCTGATATGCTCTGGAGTCATTCAAACTTGTACTAGTACCCTTCTTGAGTCGCTACGATTAGTTCGGAATTAGTTCGAAAGGTTCTATTAGGTCCAGAACAATCCCGAAAACCATTCAAGATAAAACACATTTAACCTTCTCATTGACATCGCGATTGCATCTACGACATATGCAGCATGCGTGTCGAAAACACCGTCCACTTATTAACCCTTCCGGGGGCCGACCCTTCCTTTTTTTTCAATTCAATTCAATATCTAATAGAACCGGCGATGCGTGGCTGAAAATTTTAAAGTTCTTTATACCCGTACGGGGGTTGATATCGACGGTCATCTCTCACATGTGCGCCTCCGCGGGGATCGCAAGACAAAAGCACTTTTCGGACGGATATATCTCGCATATGCACCGGCATTGTCCACTATTTTTTTTTTATTTTCACTTCGCCTACTCTCCGGTTCGAATTTAGCTTCGTACAGAACGTCCCAACACAAACGGTTACAGTAAAAGGTAGAGAAAAAGGTTCTAAAATTTTATACAAAAATTTTAAAACCATAAAAGTTTTCGGTTTGAAGCCACAGCAGGGTCCTCGAGGCAACACCTCTTCTTTTTGTGAAGCAATTCCTTGATTTTTGCGAGGCAAAAATGTTGTGTTTCTTTTTATAAATACAGCAAATTTGTTTAGTATTGGGGAAGATCTAAGCACTAAAATTGGGCCACCCTATCTATAGGTACGTTCTAAGATTACAATATTAATATAATCTTCTTTGTAAACATCGCCAGCTCGATGGAAAAACATCATTTCGAGTACCTACCTGATTTTTTGCTCTGGTGCGATATTAATCACGACCACGCGTTGGGCTCGCGTCCGGTCCCCTTCCCGTCTAATTAATTATTCGAAAACCAACCCTTGAGCTATCTTGTCCTCGCGCCGACGAGCGCCCGACCGAATGAAAAAAAAAAAAGCCCGGGCATAAAAAGCGGATCGAGATCAGCCCGGAGAGAGAACTTTAAATCGGAAACCGGTACAATGCCGATACCTGGATTAATCCCTTCCTGACCTATTAATCAGCTGATGGGCGCTTTATCTTTTTTTTTTTTAGTACCCGCGGCGATGGTCGTCATGACGACGCGCGTCCTCCGGAGAAGGAGGATTAAAAATGATTTTATTAGGGATTAGTATAGTGGTGTAGAACTAAGTAATAATCTTAGATCATGTATACTAACGTGGATGCATCAATGCCATAAGAATTACATTTATACGGTCCTGTTGGCAACATCTACAACATGCCTAAATTATACTCTCTTTTTTTGTTCTATGGTATTCAGCATAGATTTATCTTTGTTTTGGTCTGCTAATTGAACATGCGTTTTAAAAATCTGAACGTATTTATTAGTATACAACAGATACATTAGGAAACTCGCCATTGTTGCCAGGTTCACACATTTGTTGTAATTTTTCACTCTTTCAATATGTACGATGTACGATAAAAGTATTTTTATTTATTATCTAAAATAATTGTTTTGAAATGTAGTAATACTATTTAAATGCGTATACATTTTAATAAACTAATTATTGTACAAAACAGCTGCTCGATTACTTATTTGTAGTAAACGAAAAGTAGAAATAAGAAATAGTTATTAGACATTTGGCAATGTTGATGCGTCCTTTTCTGGCACTGGCGTTGACACTATGACATTTGACATCTGCTTCATAACTGTCATGGCGTCGTATTATTATTAAATTTGGATTTTTGATTATTGGATTGGTTTGTGTTTAGTGTTTGCGGTTTATACATAACACTGAGGTAAATAACAAGCATCTTAAAATAGTTTCGAAACATGAATATTTAAATTTGACGCTAACTATATACGTCAAAATTGTCAAAAGCTCCAAGACAAAGACACACCGTTAGAAACCAGCGAGTGTCAAACAATGAAGAGACAAACCGTAGAATCCCCCTTGGGGGGCAAAATGCGCCGGGAGGGCCATCAGTCATCAAAAGATTCTTCAATACATCATTTTTCTTTTTTAACGCGGGGCGAGATAAAAACCCGGAATGACCGCGATATTCAAATTTTTAAGCTCGGTCTCTTTCAAAGCCGCGCCGCGTATTCAAGAGGAGCCTCTCCTGTGCCGGCGCTGCCCCCATTTCCAACGGGGGCCCCGCGATATACGGGCGCTCGAATGGCCTATCGATTTTCGATTAAAAAAAAAATATTTTAAACCAAGCACTAGAGTAGTTCAGTTCGAATTCCCGCGCCGCCCCCGCCGTCGGGATTATAAATAATCGCCGGGCTCCGTGATGTCCTTTGTGCTCCGGTCGCGGTCACATTTTAAGCATATGCAAATGCGCCTAAGCCTCCCGCGTTGACCGTGATCTGAAACTGAAATTCTGAAAAGGCTGCGGACGTTCGTTGTGCCACCGCGGACCGCTCTAAAAAGAACAGAGTGAAAGGAGTCGAGAATAAATGGCCATCTCCATTCTGCTTCCTTGAAAAATACTAACATCGCCGCTCGAATATATATTCCTAAAGTGCTATACAGCTCGGTTTCCTGCGAATTATCCAGATGCACTATATTTTACTCGAATATTATACACCTTGCTCCATTTCCGATTGCAACATGCAGTCATTTCTATGAATATAACAAAGAAAGATTATTAAAATGACAGCTGTCAGAGTGAAAAGTCGCAATGACATAAATGTCACTCTCAATTTTTCCTTTATTATAAATGTCTAATTGAAGTTATCACAGCCTACGTTGCAATGAAAAATGGAGCAACCTGTATGTAGCAAGATTATAAAAAAACTTGCTTGGGTAATTGGTGAAATAATATAGCGCATATAAGAAGAAAATACCGCGAAAAGTGGCCATAGTAGACACGTGTCAAGCTGATAATACACTGGCGGTAGCCGAAATTCTTCGTAACACGGGGGAAAAAAATATATAGGAGGAAGGAGGAATGAAAAATCGCTCGGACGTTCGCCGTAGAAGGAGGAAAGTTTCAGGTTTTGCCGGTCCAGGGTGTGCCGGACGTGACCGGATTCGACAAAACGCCTAGGCTATTTAGATCATTGTCGCAGACTGTCGTTGCGAAATTCCAAATTTACTACACATTTTACAGCATCTAAAGAAAAACGTTACAACCTGGCAACGCCGCTCAACTATTAACTACCGTTAATACAATACGACTCTTTAATAAGATGATTATTGATCGTTTATTTTAAGTACTTAGATTGTTACTTATTGTTAAATTCTTCAGAGGACGGCACTGGAAGGGTGGGAATTTTCGATTCCGGGGAAAATGTTATTCGGATCGTGGGTTAATATTGATAACGGTCGCCGCCTTTGGAAAAACGTAAATTACCCGGAAAAATACCACGGGACCCAATTTCGGGATTATTTTCGCTAAAATGTTGACTCAAAACTCGCAAACATTGTTGCATTGTAAATAATTCTTCGGAGTTTCGCGGAAGAAAGAAACTTCCGCGGCATCTGGTGCGATAGTTTCTTCCAATAAATAACTTCGGAGACCTGCCCGATGGAAATTCCAATAGAAAATGACGTGAAAACCCCTTGACAAAGGAACCGAAGGATTTTATTAAAACAGAGACATCAGTCCTGTCGCCGCGCTCGAGCCGTATTTATTAAAAAAATCTCGATCCGTATATTATATTCCTTATTTTCGCCGAGCCGTGATTGATTTAGTCCCGAGCGGGGTGGGTATCGATGGCTGTTGACATTTGCGGCGAAATTCATAATCTTGTATTGTATTTCCCCGTTTAAAATTCAATATGCAGGGGGGATTTCACAAACTGAAAACTATCCGGGCATCGTTATCGCGTATAGGGGACAGTTTTCGTTTTCGATATCGCTCGAGAGCTGAATACAAATACGGTTTAGGGTCATTTTAAACACTTGTTACTGCGGTAATTATTGGAGATTTCGAGGGAACCGCCGCTTTTTATGTTATATACCTTCCGCCTTCGGTTTATTCGCACTTTTTATTACCATCACCGCAAAGCCTTCCGTCTAATAACGGGGGAGGAAAGATTAATTATATAGCTCATATAGGGACACAATTATGATAAATACTAAAATAACTGATGATATATGCGCACAACACATCACTTAGAATAGATAATAAGGTCGTATTTATAAAAAAAAAGCACAACTTTTTGATTCAAAATGCCTAAAAAGAAGAGAAGGAAAAGAGGTTTTACTTTTAGGATCCTGCTGTTGCTTTAAAGCGAAAGGTTTTCTAATTTTTGTATAAGATTTTAGAACCTTTTTCTCTTATTTTTTTGCCTCTACCTTTCAAAGTTAATGCTTCATTTTTATAAATATGAACTAATCGATATTCAAAATAACTATAAAGCTGCAGAGGTATCTTCAACAACAAACTGCCTCATCTGCAGTTACAATAAGAATGTTAGAATAAGATTTTAGAACCTTTTTCTCTTATTTTTTGCCTCTACTTTTCAAAGTTAATGCTTTATATTTATAAATATGAACTAATCGATATTCGAAATAACTATAAAGCTGCAGAGGTATCTTCAACAACAAACTGCCTCATCTGTTACAATAAGAATGTTAGAATAAGATTTTAGAACCTTTTTCTCTTATTTTTTTGCCTCTACCTTTCAAAATAACTATAAATCTGCAGACGCTAATTGAATACCAAACCGCCTCATTGATTAACTTACCGCTGTGGGTGGTATTTGACTCGGCGTCGGCCACTTCGGTCCTGGACCGTTTGCAGCTGTTCTCCTCCGACGAGGTGGTGTTGTCCATCTTCTCCTGCTTGATGAGCGGCCGCAGGTCCTCTTCGGGGCTGGAGCTCGTCAGCGGCGACGACGCCCGGCGCTTGGGCGTCGACGAGGCGGCGCCGTCCACGCACAGATCGCCCGGCGCCGGCAGCCTGGGCGACGCCGGAGGCGGCGTGTGGACTCGGCTGCCTGCCGATTTTTTACCTGCAATCGACGGTTTCGGAATTACTATACAAGTTCGATTAGCTTCTACTAGTTATTAATGGCCTTTTGCGCTAGTAAATGTGCAGCTAGGAATATGGAAATTCGATTAGCTTCTACTTATAGTCAGTGGTCTTTTGCACTATTGCACTAGTAAGTATACAGCTACAAATTAGTATACAAATTCAAATAGCTTCTACTTATAGTTAGTTGCCTTTTGCACTAGTAAATGTACAGCTAGGAATATGGAAATTCGATTAGCTTCTACTTATAGTTAGTGGCCTTTTGCACTATTGCACTAGTAAGTATACAGCTACAAATTAGTATACAAATTCAAATAGCTTCTACTTATAGTTAGTTGCCTTTTGCACTAGTAAATGTACAGCTAGGAATATGGAAATTCAATTAGCTTCTACTTATAGTTAATGGCCTTTTGCACTAGTAAGTGTACAGCTTAAGAATATGGAAATTCAATTAGCTTCTACTTGTAGTTAGTGGCCTTTTGCGCTAATAAATGTACAGCTAGGAATGTGGAAATTAAAGGAAAATTTCGAGATTCGTACAGGATTTAAGGCTCGGTACTTTTGGTTGATTAAATTGGGTACTTAAAATGTCGAGTACCACGCCGTACAGCACGTAGTTGATAAAGTATTGTAATCAACTGAAGTATTTGTTTGAATTGGACTTGACCGAAAATAAACTCCGTTGCGAATATTTACATTAGGTTTACGAACAACGAAATGTGATTAAAAATTTTCGGTGAATTAGCAATTTATAACTTATTTTAGTGCCTCGAGATGATGTGTCGAAAGGTAAGTTTATACAGGGTGTTCCATAATGACATGCTAATATTTAAAGGTGAGAATCTTGAGCTCATTAAATAAGTTATTATTTTTTTTTACAAATGAATGCATTTATTTTTTTTAATGCGAAACGATGAGTTGTACGAAAAAAAGTCAAGATATCAAATTTGTTCTAAATTGAATGAGGATTCCGAAAATAATTTTTATTTCAATATTAGGCAGTGGCGTATCTCAAAAATTAAGACCTTTAGGACACACGTTCACATAAAGTTTACTCCTTAAAACAGCTCCAAGAATCCCCCCCTAAAATCTTAGCACATCATTTAGAAACACCCTGTAAAACAGTAAGAAAAAATACCAAAATTTACCGGAAATGGGCGCCGATATGCTGGGCCTTTTCGTATTAATCGTCGACAGCGGCAAATTCCCATCATCCTCGTCCCTGTCCTTCTCGCTGTTGCCGTAACACTGACCGAAGTTCTCTTTGTTGCAGGACGTGATCTTGTGCTGGATGAACCGGACGATGTCCGAGAGGGCGAAGGGTTTCTTGCACACGCCGCAGGTCAGGATGTCCTGGTGCGGATCGCCTTCAACTCCATCTGCGTCTGCTGGGTACAAACAAATACCGTGGAATTAGCGCAATTTGGACGTGTTCGTTTTCGTTCTAATTACTCGCCGTAAACGGCGGAAGGAGCGAATTGTCGCAGCTCGGGTTTTTTGTTCGGACCCGACGGAGGGTTCGCTTTTGATCGGGAGAGTAAAAGGGGTGGTTCGGGCGCTTGTCGAGTGTCATTAGGACACCCGGTGGCGGCGGAGGGTGGTTAAACCCTAATACTTCGCAGCTGTTTTCCGCCAGCAATCGATACCGTTAAGATGCAAACTAACGTTTGTGTATTAAAAAAAAAATCATTCCGATAGCCGTAAATTTACCCGGGGTTAGGGAAATGGATGGCCCTCGAAACGGAAATCCGTACTCGGGGTTTGTTAAAGAGCAATCAACCGCCGGCGATTTTCTATTTTCCGATCGAAACCGAGCCTCATTACTATGTATTAAAACGGAACCCAATCGGAGAATCAATCATCGGCGCTATCTGCCTCTAATAAAACTCCTATCGAACGAATTGTAATACATATCGACGGAGAAAATAGCCAATTTGATATCTTTTATCCGTTGCAATTTTCGCTCTGTTTCACCCCACGACTTCTCTATCGACCTAAACAGAGGCGGAAATACAAAACAAATATCAAAATATTCTCATACACCGACATTAATAACAACTATTTGTAGATAAACGAACAAGAAGCTACCCTGCTACTGGTATTTTCCTTAAAAACAGCGCCTCAATAAAGAATTCCCTATACATAAAGTTCCCGAAGAGGATGTATATAAAGCGATTGTCCGGTATTGACCAATGGAAAGCCCACCCGGAAATACCTTGCGCAGACCATTGGTCAATAAGGGAGTGGTCAGCAAGGGGTGATAACCGTTTAGGTTCCGGTTGGACGGATTTCTTTACATTGAAACTCTCCCTTTTCACCATTATTACCTGCACTCGGAGAATTCGGACTGGATAATATGCATTAAAAGTCGCAGTAATCTAAAATTCGAGAGTCAACAAAACTCTTGTACAAAGAGAAAGCGAAAGGGAAATAACCTACAAATAGCCTTGTTTGCTACCCTGTTATGTTATTGTTGTTTTCGGACGAAATCGTAGTCGTAAGGGTGAGAATACACCGAACACGATCTACAAGTCAATTCCCTGTTTTGGATATTATTCACTATGTTTGTTGGAAAATAAAAATCATTTATACACTCAAAAAATCATCTTATTTACTAATCGCAAAGCAGCAAAAGTACATGTTTAATAATAGTTAAACAGTTAACTAAACAGTTGTTTTTCTGGTTGATTTTTCTATATATTTCTAAGGGCATGTCTCGAGGTGCCCTGGAGACACGTCTGGGCGTCCTGTAATCGGATTTGGCCTTTTGTTTTTTTTTCTCGGATGCCCAAAGGAGGTCAGTAATCACATTTTTTGGTCTAGCTTGTCACACGAACGTCGCCTAATCCAATGAAAAGATCGACGAAACCCTCGCGCTAATGGAATTTGGCTAGTCAGACGGGCGAAAGGGGATCTAATAATCGCGATTTGCGTAAATTCTTCGAGCAGAAATCGACGAAAAAAAAAAACTCGCGTTTAACGAGCATAACGAGCCCGATGGTTCATTAATGCTGTGTTTCCTGGACGCCGAAAAAAACACCTCATAACGGGGGATAAAGGGACAAAGCCCGGCGGAGATGTCCGTTGTTTTCGGGCTTTGTAGTGGAGATGCAATAATAAGGGCGCACCTGGACGTTTGTTAGCCGAAAATGGCGCTTTCGAAAAGGGTTGTTCAATTGATCGTGAATAATCGCGCAGCCTCCGGACCTACACTAAAATGACCACAGAACAACAATCCCCATTTTATCTAAACCCGATTTGTTGCTACAATTTTACAAGTTCCTAAAGTCATCACTCGATTATTATAAACGTACTATAAATATTAAAGAATTGTACAAGAAATAACAATTCAAATTTTATACATCTAAACCCAATTCATTACTTAATTTGTTGTGACAATAATAAAGAATTGTACAAGAAATAACAATCCAAATTTTATATATCTAAACCCAATTCATTATTTAATTTGTTGTGATAATAATAAAGAATTGTACAAGAAATAACAATCCAAATTTTATATATCTAAACCCAATTCATTACTTAATTTGTTGTGACAATAATCAAGAATTGTACAAGAAATAACAAATCAAATTTTATACACCTAAACCCAATTCATTACTTAATTTGTTGTGACAATAATAAAGAATTGTACAAGAAATAACAATCCAAATTTTATACACCTAAACCCAATTCATTACTTAATTTGTTGTGATATTAATAAAGAATTGTACAAGAAATAACAAATCAAATTTTATACACCTAAACCCAATTCATTACTTAATTTGTTGTGACAATAATAAAGAATTGTACAAGAAATAACAAATAAAATTTTATACACCTAAACCCAATTCATTACTTAATTTGTTGTGACAATAATAAAGAATTGTACAAGAAATAACAATCCAAATTTTATACACCTAAACCCAATTCATTACTTAATTTGTTGTGACAATAATAAAGAATCGTACAAGAAATAACAATCCAAATTTTATACACCTAAACCCAATTCATTACTTAATTTGTTGTGATATTAATAAAGAATAGTACAAGAAATAACAAATCAAATTTTATACACCTAAACCCAATTCATTACTTAATTTGTTGTGACAATAATCAAGAATAGTACAAGAAATAACAATCCAAATTTTATATACCTAAACCCGATTCATTACTTAATTTGTTGTGACAATAATAAAGAATCGTACAAGAAATAAGGCGCAAAAAAACCAATCGAGTTAATTAGATACATTTAATAATCGTCCGCGTTTATCCGGTCGGAGTTAGTAGCTAATCCTCGGGAGTTAAAAGGCCCCCTAAAAAGTCCGCGAAAGGTCGAAACGCGACCGTTTCGTCGGATTCGGGGCAATAAACGTCGCGACCCGGTCTTCATCCGTCTCTACGAGAGCCAATAAAATAATGCGCAGGGGATGCTCCTGGACATTACGGTCGAGCAAAAGTTTTAATCAGCCGAGAGGCCACTTCCAATCAAGAGGCCTGCTCCTAATAGCCCCGCAACGAATTGCCTATATATTTTATCAAACGCTAGATACATTGAAATCGACTTACTGAGAAGGTGTTCGTAGAAAAACCGCATCTTCAAATACAACTCCGACATCACTTAACATATTAACTTTGACTCGATGTAGCGCTAGGGGATGCTGACCATTCGGCTGAGTTATGATGACTATTTTAAATTCTCTACGCGAGCCTCCTTCCAGTCCACAGGTAGTTCGAGGGTAGAGGGTAGGCCGGGTGGGGGTAGCGCGCTACCCTCGAGAGTTCTCGCAAAAAACGCGCCTCTAATCTCGGTTAATGAATAAAAAAACGGCGAGAGAATGGATGGAGAAAAAAAACGTTAACGAGCGAAAGTGGCGCAGTCGGCGGATGAAATTCCAGCGTTCGATTCGAATTCGACCGATGTAAACGAAACGGAATGAAATTTGCATGAAGCGCTCGCGTTTCCTCGTCGTTCGACATGCGCATTTGCATTTACCAACAACAGCAAAAACTAACGATGTCCATTTAATTGATGTCGAGTCGTCGTGGATTTTATTTTTCTCCGATGAATCTCAATCGGCTCGTTGTGCGGTCGCGGAGATTCTCACAATACATTTCGCTATATCTGGACGCAAAACTCTCACATCCGATAGAAATGCATTTTTTTTTTCATTCGATAACCGTAAACAAATTGTAGATGATTGAAAAAATAACCGATAACGGTTGCGTGCAATTTCAATTAACATTAAAACCCTCGAAGTCATTTTTTAGACGGTGTAGAAAAAAAAAGTAACCGAGAATCTCGAGGGGTAAGGATTTTTTCCCAGGACTCGCACCCCTCGAAGAGACTCATTTGCAAATAGCATCGATGCACCGTTGGAGGAAAAAAAATCGTGAGATTTTTTTACACCTTTTTTTAGCGCAGCTGCCTGCCCGGAGATGTGCCTTTTTTGCGACGCCCTACCTGCGATAAATCGCGCTTTATCATATACACTGACGATTCCGATGCACGAAATAACGAAATGCCAATTGTCCTTTCTATGTATATAGTAACTGCGTGGAGCCTTACGTTGTAAACCTTGGAGAATTTAGCGAATAAAAATTTATGAATGCTTGAGGTAAGCGCTCAATGACGATGGAAATGCCACGAAATTATAAAGGTTACCGAACGGTATTAGAAAAAGAAATACGGACAATTCGAAATGCCAAAGAGTTAGGACATACCGAGGTGAAATATTGATTAATTTTTTAGATGTTCCTTTCGTTTTGCTCGTCCCAAAAAAACGTTTTTATTTCGCAGCATTTAGAAGAGTTAGTTTCTAACGTTATAGATAAGCACCTTTAATTGACAATGGTTTGTTCGAGGAGCCGGTTAAGTATCGGCGAAGAGAGGTTTCCCATGGACACCGATTAATTCATTGCTCAGTTTCGTACTTATTTAGACTGATTTATAGAGGCTGGCGTCTATTCCGTCGAGGCGAAACTTTACTCTTTACTCTCCGGCAACGTATAACGAGATTGTTGGGAATCTTCGCCTTGTTTTCTCTTGTCAATATTTGATAAATCTGCAAAGTGTTCGAGTACTCGAAGGATGAAAATTTCTTTCCACATTAATTAAGAATACAATTGCATCGATGTTTCGCGGAGTATACGGATGATCGGTTTGTTTACTAGGTAAATTGGATTTTTTTTTCGTTCGGAAAAAGTCGTAAAATATGCTAAACAGTCAACAAAATACGTGCTGCAATAAAAAAAACCGCATTTTTACAACTTTTACAATAGCAATTCGTTTGGTCACTTCGTGCTTTATCAACATCGTGACAGTCCGAAAATTTACGGCCGCAATTTTTATTATGTGACTCATTTCCACTATTGATTAAACGGCGAGGTT